AAGTACTGCAGCGGTATTGATTCGATGTGACTCGGACATGATTGATGTAACAATGGCTCTTCGGGCTTTCGATGAATATAGGGCTGAAATGATCTCCGACGGAGCTGACAATGATGCTTGGTAGCGCTGGAAATGCAGTGTACTAAAGTACATCCTCAGCCACCAACCTTGATACTTCGATTGTAACCATGCTGCAATCAAATTGCTTCCAAGCGCATCCGACGAAAGGCACGAAATATGCAATTGGATGAATCTGCCGATACCATCAAGATGACAATGGAGGGCTCTGAAATTCCCCAGCACTGACTCCATATAGCAGAATAGAATCAAGGTCGCTAATATCTGTGTCGGGCTTGAACACGTCTTACTCCCATTAAGCGTATGGGCGATTTCTCTGACTGCGGCACCATAATGTTCTTGGCTATAGAGCAGGTGGCTTTTGTTGGGTTTAAATAACGTTCCGTTGCTCTTGATTGATTGCCTTTCTGGTAACGAGCGACTCAGATTGCAAGCAGATAATGCTAGGAGGGAATTCTTAAGAGGTTGGTATTCGTGGGCTAGTGCGCTGATGTCGTGAGAGAGTAGGCGTAAGGCTCTAACACATCTTTCTTCCCAATGGGCAATATATATTTGCTCTTTCTCTGACCAGGTTAACTGCATCAGGCTATTTGTCAAAGCCAGGTCTAGCGATAGGCTACTTTCGGCGCTCCCTGATACCAAATCGCCCGAGAGATGAGATGTATTTGTAGAATGGGAAGTATTGTTACCGTTATCATTATTGTTAACTTGCCGGCGAGTATTCGATGACTTCTTAGGTGACACTTCTACATTTCGAAACTGGAAATCGAGCTCATATTTCTCACAGGCCCGACCCAGCCGCGCGCATGCAGTACATGACGGCTTTTTCTCATCGCACTGTGAACGATCAGCTTAGTAACTCCACGAGTGGGGTCAGAGCGTCATAGACCTTCACTCGGCGTTGACGACACAGTTTGCATCCTGAGCGGGTACGAATGATATTAGTCTTCTTTGGTCTTGGAGGTGCCGGCTTATACATGATTGTAGTTGCGGTTAACATAAGATTTAGGCTGGCGAGAGTAAGATTACCGAATGTTATGGAAAGCTCTTTCACCTGACCCCACTCAGCCCCAACTTACCCCAACAAGAACTTCTACCTACCAGATACACCCGTATCTTGCAAGAAAAGCAGTCGATTGCTCTTCAGCTGTGCCACTGGACAGCATAGTGCGGGAATAATACGAGGCTCTGAGACGTTCGGCAAAACTATCAGCCGGGTTCCTGCAGATGCTGCGTTGAAAGGTTTGCTGTGGGAGCGTGTGATTATTTCGAACTCCTTCAGGCCTGAGGGTGCCAGTGCGTTCGTATATCAAATCTTGGCTCTGGCTGAGATGTGGTATTTGCGATTTGAATGGTGCCAACCCGGAGTGGCTTCTGAACGACTCGGTTAGCGTCTCATTGCTGGGTTTTCAGTCGTTCTCGTTATACTCACGATACACTCTCAACCTATGGTAAGGAGCTACGATAGCGGTATTTTATAAATACTCCAACTCGCTTCCGTGTCGATGATTGACTCAAGCATTATCCCCGTACTCCAAATATCCAGAGCAAAGATAAGACTCACCACTTCACAAAAGACCTCGCTTATCGGAACAGACAACACGAGTAGTGGAGTCGATCCACCTTCCTAATGAGGTGCGCGGGAGCGACGACATCCGGGCCTCAGTCTAGAATAATTTAAGCCAGGACATGCGAGCGGAGATCAAAAGGACCACGTTCCCTCCCTCCCTCCTCCCCTCACGCTAACTGGAAGAATTTATAAAATGGTATCTACATGCTACTATCGACATTTACTCGTAGAATACAGCAACTAACATGGCTCACCAGGATAAAACAGAGCTTCTCTATCTAAACGACGCCTCGCTAAGAGAGTGGACAACTACAGTCCTCTCCTGTCAGCCGATATCGCAATTAACAGAAAGCGAAAAGAATCTGGCAAAGACACTTGCACCAGAAAGCTTCGCTCTCATCACCCGTGAAACGGTGTTCTACCCACAAGGCGGAGGGCAACCCAGCGATACAGGCGTGATTACTCTCGCAGACACAAGTAACGGCTCTACATTTAAGGTTCTCCTTGTCCGGAAAACCTTGGATGGCACTGTTCTCCACCTGGGGGAGTTCACCGATCAACCCTGTTTTACGGACGGCCAGTTAGTCTCACAGGCTATTGACTGGGCAAAACGCGACTACCACTCTCGACTCCATACAGCGGGTCATATCATCGGTCTGGCTATGCGGCTTCTAGCTCCTGTGCTTGGAGAAAGGAAGAAGGTCAAGGCGAATCATGCACCGGGGCAGGCTTGTATGGAGTTTGAGGGCTTGCTTTATGCTGAGCAGAAGTCGGTTATTGAGGATAAGGTGAACGAACTGGTAGGTATGAAGCTTCCTGTTACTACGGAGTGGTGGGATGAAGATCGCATTCAAAATGCAGACCTAAACATGGTGGAGGGCTTGCAGCTAGGGAATAATGGGCAGGCGAGGATCGCCTTGATTGGAGATATTGACGCCAATCCGTGTGGTGGAACGCATGTAGAACATACTGATTTGACGGGGTTTATCACCATTCGGAAGATTGCCAGGCAAAAGGGGGTCAGCAAACTATCATATGAAGTGCCAGTTTCGATGTGAAAAATGTATTCTTTAGCATGATATCGCTGAGCTTACAGCGGAATTTATGTACTGTATAAGTAAACAGGGTTAAGAGTACTCTCACTTTAACTGTTGATAGACGTCTTATATGTTCTGGCAGGCCGTAAGCCCTCTTGGCCGTTCGATGTGTGTTACCCTAAATGCTTACCATCCACGTAGATGGTTTGTTAACAGGTCATTTGTGAATTAGGAGCACAGCCGGCGTAATTGTGATCTAACTACTAGTAGCACTCTGTCCTACTTTTGTCCCTCATCCCCATCCCTGTCGTCAAATACCTATGCGACCATCGTATAAGGGATAATCCGCGCCGTCCACTACCGTGCCTTACAGCTCGGAAGACGGATCCACCAACCATTTGCGACAACCCTATAGAAGAGGAGGTGGTCCGAAGCCGCATAAGACGACCCTGTGATGACTGCATCGATGCAGGGGTGTGGATTGAGCACCCTGAAATCCGCAGAGACTCTTGGGGAAGAGCATTGACATGGATCAAAACCACAGGGCATTGAAAGTATACGTGAGGCCTATGTTCTCCTGGGTCTAGGATAGCCCCTTATTCTGTAGCATGCTAACATGGGGTCGATAGTAGGAAATCGTTCTATGGAAGTGCGGCGACCTTAGGCTGATACTCCTTAGCTTTACGGATAATGACCACGTACGCACGAGCACACATGGAGAATGTCGATGGAGGTCTATTATAATACGATATATGGTATGCTAAGGAATTAATGAAGGATGTCCTGGCCACTGAGTTCGTTAGCGAGCGCTGTCTTTACTAGTTATTCCCCTTTTGATATTGTTGGCCTTCTAGTATGTGCATATCACCCCTAGCCCTTGGGATGGGAAAAGAGAGCTTGATTTAAATTCCACAATAAGCCAACGAACATCTTGAGCGATTCTTATTTTGTACTTGGACTATCTTGGATCCCTTATGATATGTTCTACTATCTTGTAGTGCTCGAATTCATAATAAAAAGGTCCTAAGAAATGCTTCCAAATAATAGTGTTAGCCAGTAGGCTATGGAGGGCGACGGTAAAGAGACCATGTTTTGTAAGCTTATTATATGCTCGCTGGGAATTATGCCTCGAGTCTGATCTCACACTCACCCCTTGAGACTCTATACCCAAAACCGCAACTAGGCTATGATAGTACTATTTTCCTGCTAAAACGGTAGAAGGGCCCCAGTCCAGCCTGTCTCGAGCAAGAACAAAGATTCTAAAGAAATAAGAGAGAAACGAAAAACTGGGAAGCAAACACACACATAGCAGCCAGTGTTCGATGGTAAATCCTCTTGGCTATACAAAGCAGCAGAAAAGGAAGTTGGTCTTTCTACCAGCTGAAAGGCCTGTACGTCAGCTATCACAAACCTCCATGCAATTAGGCGCACAGCCAAGAGCTCCCAAGAAGCATTAATGGCCCCTTACATATCAAAGCCTCAGGGGTCGGGGTGGTTAGGGAGGTGTCAAAATATTACGCCCCCAAGTTCCACATACCGAATCCTTTCTAAGGCAACAACTTTCAACGATCGTCACCAGCTGAATGAGACTACTGCACCAATTGTAGAGGTGTTTCCTTTTTATGCATGTTGGCTTACCTAGTTCATGTAGCTTACCTCGAGTGACAGTAAGCGCTAACATTGTGGGCTGAGACGGTGTGACCCGCGCTGCATCAGGGATGTAACATCCTTATTAGAACCGGGTGCTTGGCGATCTACACTCCTGCATCTTTAGTTCGTCAGCTCCAACACCTCCCCGCACACGTTGAGGTACATTCCGAGGAATCATGAGCCCTGTCAGTTGGTAGATCATTCGCTAGTTATCCCAAGGTACCCATAAATCAGCCGAGGATCACTTCCTTGTGCAGCATCGTAGGGGCTGCTTACAAGCACTCGCTTCTGTTATTGCTTTTTTCAGGCTACGCGCGTCGTCTCCATAATCGGTTATTGAGGTATATGGTGCATCCTCAATGAGGCTGGCTCCGATGGAGTACCCCACAATAAGCAAGTACGCAACCTTCTGACCCTCATCGGCAAGGGTTGGGACTTTGTCTGTCATCATGTAGATGGGGGCATGGACCCAGTGGGGATATTGACTTGCCAACAACATTTCTGGGATGCAGAAGTCGTTTCCCTTTCCTTGGCTTTGAGGCAGTGAGTGATTCTAACTTGTGATCCTTGGCGACAATGTGTTATTCACGGGGACTCTTCGGCGCCAGGAACTGACATATAAAGGGGGCATTAGACTCGAGGAAACAGGAGACAACTCTGCTTAGAACCAGAATATTCTCTTCTTAATCCAGAATATACATCGGCATTACATTTAAATCCCATCTCATTCATAACCTCAACTATTCCGAGGCAATATGAAGATCTCTACTACTTTCCTCTATACATTCCTTGCCATCACCACCTTAGGTGTTGCGAGCCCCACGGGCAACAACGCCGTTGCCGCCGAAAATGTCACACCTGCTTACGCTGAAGCCGAGTCTTTCTTCGAGAAGCGTAAGGGCTGTAGCGGCGACAGGAAAGACTCAGACGTGTGTGGCGGAAAGAAGCTCGCAGAACAACACTCCTTTCACAACTGGTATATCGCCCTTGCCTTCTGAGAGACTTGGAATACTTTACTAATGTAACCTGACAGTAAGGGGAAAAATAAGGGCAAATGCTGCGCCAAAAATTCAGACGGGACAGGAGGAATCGACGTGAACAAGGGAGGTGGTGAAAGCTGTGGCTATTGCTTCAGTGGCAAATGCTCGGGCTGATTAACCTCAGCATGAGGACGTTTCGCATGGCACCGGAATGAGGATGTCCAGGAATCCGTTATATGGAGTATCTTTGAATTTGCGCTCTAGTTGGTGGTAGATAGTCAATGTTTAACTCTACCAAACTCAAAGTCTCGCCATCTGTGCCCATCGTAAAACAATCCATTTGAAATAGTGTCCACATGGCTAAGCCTCGTACACGCCTTGTACGTACTATGAGTTGTATTCGTTACCAGTTTGGGCTTTGAAAGCGGCCACCACCATTTTAGAAAATTCATCATGATCCTGAAGGTATAATTCTTCCAAATTTGGTGCATGCTCCACGATTAGACGTGCGAGCATCTGGGCATCCACGGTCAATGAAGATGGCCTTAAATTCGTAGAAGCCGTCAGACGATGAATTACTCTATAAAGTCATAGGGGAATATGCTTACTGTGACTCTCGCTCTCCAGTTACTGTTGCACCAAGTTCAAGCTGTCGTAACTGTGGAAAGAGCGGTCGTTCCATGGTTGACCAGCCATGCAAGTCATAGGAACCAAAGATCTCACAGGATTCAAGTTGACGACAATGTGTTCCTAGTGAAGTGATCGCTACTGTTGACAAGTTGCACTGGACTTGGAATATCAAATGTTGAAGTTTACCCATATTCCCAAAAAGGTGGATAAACTCTTGGTCTGTCAGCGTGTGGAATGCTGGGGGATCCTCTAATGAAGAGATACACAGTCTGCGTAAATTCTTCAATCCTCTGAGCGCAAGTAAGTCTGTGGCTGGCCAAATTGCCTCCTGACAAAATACGATCTCGAGTTCAGTAAGATTTATCAGTGGCCTGACAAGTGGCAAAGGGCTCAGCTCGTTGTCTTCGACGGTAAGTAGAAGGTTGGTAGCAGATTTTATGGCTGCAGTGAGTGGTTCAACTGCTTTCGACTCCAGTTGAACTGTGAGGCGTCGGATGGACCTGAAAGGGGTCTCTGCCCCTTGAAAGGCCTTCTTTATCATCTCATAGGTGATAGTCTGCCCCAATTCCAGGTCCTCAAGGCCATGACGACGGGCAAGGTAGGTGAGCATCTGGTCGTCGACAAAGTCGTCCATGAAAGATGGCAGACATATTGATCTCAGAGATCTGCAGCAGTCAAAGAATTTTATTAAACGTTCAGTGTTTATCCCCTCGAATGCATAATCGAGCAGAACGCTCTGCAGTCGTGGGCAAAGCGTTTCCAGTAGGCCAAGTAAGTCTTCAGCCGGCTCAGACCCATAAAATCTAAATTCTTCCAAGCTCGGCTGTATGTATTGACCAAGCCATAACTTTTCTCCGTCTTTTGGGCCATAATAGTCGATTGTCAGACGCTTAAGCCTTGGGAACTCTAAGGTACGAAAACGGGAATGTTGTCCTCCGTCATTTGGACCCCCAAAATCTAGCTCACGGACCTGACGCGCGTAGAATTGGCGGTGGTTATCCTGACTCGATGCCAAGGCTGCCACCGGCGGCTTCTGCCAAAGGACACTGATGGCTTCCGCAGCCCAGGACTTGTTCACCAAGACTGCCGATCGCAGAGTAGTGAAATCATCATTAAGGAACTCCATAACTCGGCGCAACAGCTCCGGTAGAAGCGGCCCACTGAAAAACATTGGATTGATTTCGACGTCTAACATATTCTCTAGACGCACTCATTAGCATTTTGAAACAAAAAGAATAATGAAAGTAAATAGGCAGGGTAGGATAATGGTGTCCATCGCCCTACCATTGGCTGCATTCCTCTCCATAACGACTGATAGCTTGAAGTATGTTAAGCCGCCAGATAGAAATGAGCCACCTAGTGTTCTGGCTCCGGGCTTCCCTTAAAAAGCAATTTCCAAGGGATTTCCTAGGTTGGGGATTTCGTGTGTACTAGGAAAATAATGAGATATACATACAGAGAGCTGAAGAAGAGTGAACGTAAGAAATGCGACCTTGAAAGGCCAAGTGCGGGACAAATCATCAGCTGACATAAGTTGCTTTTTTTGTTATGATCGCCATTGGGGCGAGAAAAGAAACAAAGAGCTATACAAGAGATGTTTGATAGCCTTCCCGGCCCAATACATAACTCGAGTCAATCGGTAGATGCAATACATAATTTTATTTTATGTCCGTGCTACTGCCCGTCCTATCTTGTCCTCTATTTCCAGGTTTTAAGCCAAGGAATCGGCCATAACATAATAACCCTCCCACATGGTTTCGGGATTTTCCCAAGAGGATCCGGCTTATGTTCTGAGAGGTGTCCATCTTCTAGTTATTCGTAAAACATCTGTGCATAATACGCAGAGATCTATATGAGAAACTCACATGATATCAAAAGTAACATCCTAGTTTCAACAGCTAATCCCTTCTACTGCGACAAACCTAACTGTCCAGATCTTTCTGCCCTTGATGTATGCTACAGTAAGCTGTCGAACGGTCAGGTCAATGGCTCTACTATAGGTAATCATATCTCTTTATAATTGTTTTAAAGAGACTTACTCTAATATTAATTATTATATCTCCAGCTATCATCTTCTAAGGATACTAATAGTAGCCTTTCAATATCCTATTCGTTCTGCTCAAGTCCCGGACAATCTACAGTACATTCAGTATTCTTGCCCGTCTTACACTTTGTTTGTTCACCCTCGAGGAAGAACGCTGCTCTCCGAACCCAAATTTAGTCACAGAGAAGGACTTGGAAAGGGCTGCAAAGGGTGATATGGCACAATCTGAGAATGGTGTCACACTCAAAGGCGAGATATCCGCACAAATCAGCTGACAGATAATTAACAATAGAATTGGTCCTCTCAATTTCTTTCCTCCATGGTGGAGGCTAGTTGGTCCTTCGCAGTGGCTAGTTGGTTTAGGTTCAAAAAAGGAGGATTTGTGAGAGTAGGGAAGCATAATGCGTTTCTATTAGTTGGCTGGCTTTTCTAGTTTTCACTTATAGATAGCTGACTAAACTGGATCCTAGAAGGTGTTTTTAGCTTTCTCGCCGAGGTCACGCCTGGCTTAAGTACTGCTTGGGCGTACGGGAAGCCCTATTCTCTACATGCTATGGTCATAAGTATTAGGCTGGCATAAAGTAGAGGATTATTTCCACTACTGCTCTCACTGGTTTGAAACGGCCAGGAGAATAGTGAATATGTCTAATGGTAGTCGAATGAGTTCCACATAACCACCACTATTGTTGGCCCATTGTTCAGCGCCAGAAGCGAAAAGAATTGAAAACGCGAGCGTCTCTCAACGTTTACAACAAAATGTCCAACACATGAGTATAGGTGGGATTCAAACCGAAGTTGTTTCACAGGTTGTATATGTACAGTGTACCCCAGCCAATAGTACCTTGTCGCTCTGGGTTTAAATTAGCTTGAGCCTCAAAGTATCCACAGCCATGTAAGGCGAGGACACTTATTGTCAATCTTTTCGGTCTGTCCGCCCTTCCGAAGTCTCTCGGGTGGTGTCCCGGTCGACCTCCTCGGATATAGACTTGGGTTCGGGTCGGTCGGGTCGGGTCGGTTGGGATCTCCAAGGGTTCAACTGTTCAACTGCTGGCACCGATATTTTTGGTCGGCTAGCGTGCCGAACCGACGGTCACCAATTTAAATTCCAGTCCGTAAAGCAGGCCGCCTTCACATCGGCGTGTCTCGAATTTCTATTGCCCTTCTGGCTCGGGAAATCCGTCAACTATCTCTTTCTTAAGAAACATAGTATACGATAACACCCTCGGAAATTCAAGTATGACAATAATCAGGTTCCGACTATTATTTGGTCGGTGGTAAGCAATAGGAATGGGCGGTCGGCCACCAAAACTGATGTCTGACCAGCACAGGATGTACCATATAATGGTTATACAGCTGAAATGAAGATATAACAGCTGTACGTATGTATCCATTCGGTCGCGTGGGAAAATGGACTTGAAAGTTATGTGTACTTAAATGCTTGGGATATCGTTCTGGGCCCATGGGTTTGAGACGGTTATGAAGTTTTGTCGCTTTTGGAAGATGGAAAAAGATATTGGGCGAATATAGAGTGACGAAGCTGGAGGAGGTCGAGCTGAGTGACTTCGTATGACCGTGTCCATTATAAGAGGTGAAATCAGGCTCAAATCAAGGTAAAATTTGTATATGACTGGTGTTTCCAGGCTCTACTAAAAGTGGAAAAGCCAAAAGAAGAGATATAGGCGAACTGAGTTCACGCGAGCATAACTGGAATACACTATCAGTGTACAAGAACATGTATGCATAGGAACATATGATACTTACTTTCCCAGTTCCAGTCTTCCATAACCCTTAGCCAGTGCAGCTCACCCTTGATAGTGTAGTTGATAAACCCAGCCCTTGTGACAGGATCTGTCCCTTTCTGGAATGCAGCCGAGTCCGGAAAGTCAGATGACCTTGGACCTGACCGAGTTTCTGCAGAAGACGAGTCCCCCAGGCCCTCGTGACTCATAGTGCTGTCAATGTTACTCCTAGGAACACGAAGTGAATCGTACAGCGTCGAGGTATCCATCGCGCGACGGCTTATTATGGGAAAAGGTCGGTAAGCTTTGATCAGATCACGTAGGCCGTGGCGTGTTTCAAATTCGTCCCTCCTTCGCCACACTTCAATTGTCATATCTTTACATCGATCTGGTAATGTGGTCATCAAGCGTCGTGACATGAGCTCCCAGCGCAGACGAACCCACTCTCGATCATCGTCGTCGAATGTCTCACAACCCGCTATCATCAACGGAAATATTTGCGCATGTACTGTCCGAGATGACGGCGGCGTAGTAGCGAGAAAGACAAGAGTCTTCTGTGCTAACTTCGAGATCGAACATGAGGCGGGAAGCTCCGGAACTGCTTGCCGAAGGAGCAGAAGCGCAGCGCCTCGGTATGCCTCTGCGGTCTGTATCAAGTCGGAAATATTTGAGCTCGAGCTTTCCGAGTCTACAGGTGAGACCCAGTCTTCAATAGCCATCTTTATTTCAATGGCTCTGGAGATGATCGCAGGAGAATTGCGATTCTCTGGCCGGCCGCGGATGCGACGAACAAGCTCCACCAGGCGGCCAATTGACGGAAAGAGAGCAGTACCACAGCCCATGAGCGGATCAATCTCCTTCTCATCTATATGGGGTAGTATAGAAGTGTATGTGAACGTGGACTCGGGTACCGTGGTATTTGTAGGTTCGGTGCATGTCAAGCGAGCAATGACGTGCCTGTATAACCAGGTGTTGACAAGGAATTTCAGACATTCCAGTTCACTATTTACGGGTCCTGAAGTAAAACGCTCCTGGACAGCCTGTTGAATGAGTGCTCTGGCGTCGTTGAGATGAGTGATCCCCGTTGCTGGTGTGTGACAGTCCCAGGACTCAGCGAAGGCAAGGGCGAGCCTGGTGGCAATTGCAGCCTCCAAGGGCATACTGCCGTTGTCCATGCTAATGACAAGAGCTTGGACACTGAGATTGAAATGTTTCATGCTGAGTAGATTGAGTTGCTCTTGGTTCTTGCTTATGTGTGCACAAGTCATTGCGGCTAGAGCGTGGTAGAGCGCAGGACAGTCACGCGCCATAGGCCAGACAAGCGCTTGCCATAGGTCCACGCTATCGCCGTCCCTGATAGACAGTATATTAGACGTGTAACCCACGAAGAAACGTCTGATCATTCTCTGACTACTGTCTGGAAACTGTAGCTCTTGAATGAGGGTATCCATCTCATTAGAGTCAGAACTGTCGGATCCAAATATATCAACATAGAAACCCCCGCCCGACTGAATGTCATGTTGCCAGTGGGCCTCCTCAATATCAACTCCTTGGAATCTCTCATCTCTTTGGATAATCTCTTCATGGCTTTGAATGGCCCTGCATAGGTCATCGTCGCTTGCTGAAGCGTCTCCAGTTGTTTCCAAGCCCAAGTCATGAAGCCCTGTTAATTCGTGGTTAGCCGGATTCACTGCAACCGCGGATGAGAAACAGTCAAGGTTGGGAGGCTCTGTAGATGTCCCGGTAGAGGAACTGTACATCCTATGCACGATTGACTGCTCTTGTTCTGAGAGTCCAGAAGGAAAGTCACTAGCCATGTGCCCTGTCCCGACCGCTGTGCTGTCTGCTGCGGCCGTCTCATGTAGTGCAGTTATAGAAGGGCAAATTATGTTAGTCAAGGGAGACCAGGAATCGTCTAAGCTAGCTTGCATGATCGGAGAATTAACAGGCGCATCGCTCTTTTCCTGGAGCGAACGATAGGATGATTTGGTCGACTGACGCTCGTTCTTTCTCCGAGTACCTGTTGGAGCTTTAGCAATGCCTTTGGAAGTAGGTAATTAACGCATTCTATACAGTACCATCACCTGCTATGCGCTCATTGTTAATCTTTTCCACGGCTCTCCATCTGAGGAAGTTTGGATAGCCGCCACATGTGGTTCCTTGAAGTGAGCATTGTTGACAGGACGGCCTTGTCTCGTCGCATTTTACCCGCCTCGCTTTACATGTTATACATCCTAAACTTACGCCGTCAGCCATGGTTTCAGTTTATAATCACAGAGCGGAGTAGAGCACCATTGCGACTCCTCGTCTGTTTTTGTCTTGGCTTTGTTTTCATTCTTATATGCTTGTGCGCTGAGAGCGAATGGGCCGCCTTTTGTCAGTTGCGCCGTGGAATCGACATGGCGGAAAGGTTGCGGACAACCTGAGCAAGGCCGAGGGAGGGGTCGATCATGTGCCTTGATAAGACCTAACTTAAGACATTTCTAGTGGGCCTGGTCTAGCCTCATCCACCTCACACATCTTCCTACATGAACAAGCACTAATCCCCACATAGCAGGGACAGTCCTCTGACTGAACTTTTTCCAGGACCTGTAGGAACCACGTCGCAAAAGTGTAGACTTCCCGTGCAGCAGAAAATATGATCATTTCCATTGGTTCACCCAGACTGGCAGCAGATCTACTCATGACAGCCCTCTCTCCCTGTTATGCACTGATAACCATGGTAGACATCTTGTCTCCGCATAGATGCGGGTCTTTTCCCCACATACCTCCCTCTCTCCGCACCTGACTCAGGATTCTGAAGCGGCTGGTTTGCTTACGTGCACATGACTTGACCAGCGGGTTCGATAAAGCAGTGAGGGGAGATGTTAAAGAGAAGCAAGCAATGTAAGTTCTATAAAGTCTAACTAACAGGCTCAGTCTAGATTACTCATTACTCTAACTATCTTGAGCGAAGGTGTCTAAGACCGGAGAGCGCTAATTCTCATAGTCAAACATCTCGGTCAGCATGGACTCTATATACTCTTGTTGCTCGCTGAGCCAAGCTCTGGCACCCTCAACATCAAAGCGTCCCCCCTGACTTCGACCCTTCTGAATCAGCTCCAGTTGTCGGTCGACACGGGCCTTTAGGTTGCGCATTCTGTACTCGGCGTAATCATGATAGAGCGGGTCTTGGCGGCTGATACCACGAACAGTTGTGAGAACAGTATCATCTCTCGCAAATGGTGACTTGGGCCGGAAAGGTGTAATAATAGAAATACGCTCTCCGCCTCCAAACGATTTCAGTGCCATGTGTTCGATATAACGGCCCTGCATGACCACGGCCGTTCCCTAGCATTGTTAGCAAACTCTCTATGAGGGCATCAGAATAGTTGTAGCTTACCATCGTGGGCCCGCGCGTTTTCATGGTGCGTCCATCACCTGTACGGATAACAGTCTCCCCACCGACCATATCTCTACAGTCAGACAGCATAGTCACGCAAACAAAGGGGAAGCTGTCCCTGTGCCATGAGAAAGCCTCGCTATCTCCGTTTTCACCCATCTTCTCAAGCTCGGCTTTTGTGGGTTTCTTCTCGTTGAAAGAGATGTTGCAATGGCCAACCTCGTAATCGAATACAGGAACTAAGTCGATTCCGGCAATAGCTGAGACAGCTTCAAGAAGCTCTGGGCTATGATAGGCCTTGTGGATAAATGGAGCAAGTCTGCATATAATGTTAACAAGGTGTCGTACCATCAACCAAGAACGGGCGATGACTTACTTTGCATTATAGCCTCTAACCATGTTTGATGCGAAACTGGAAGAAACCTGGCAATTCTCGAGCATCGCCTCGCTGAATATCTCTGCCCTCATCTGCTTGACGGCATCTTCAGTCCACAGACTGAATGGCTCTGAGACTGCAGTATCAGAGATACCAACACCCTCGAGTCCAATATCTGCCATTCTCAAAATCTTCTTCGGGGGGATGATGTTTAGGTGACGAGCCGGGTCAAATTCCTGTTTCTCAACATTCCGGGCTAACAGCACGAGTGATTCTGGGAGCTTCTTGGTGGCCGGTGTGTACTTTTTGTTGGTCGGTCCCACGACTACATGTTTCTTGGGGACTGGCGTGGTAGCCGTGGGGGCGACTGCAACCGCTGAGGGCATTTTGTCTCGTGGGGTTTTGAAAGGTTGCTGTTGAAACAGGTTTGGATGCTTGTGAACGAGGAGATTTGTTTGCTCTCTGGGGTCCTCGCTATCCAGTTCTATCGACAGGTATTTATAACTGGAGACCAGGAGAGGCCCAAAGGTCAGGCAGCGGCAATGTGTACTATCAAGCAGCAATACACCCTCGATAGCATCCTGAAATGCCCATATTCGGCAATCATGACATTTCTTGAACAGCAATGAAAATTGCTCAAAGCAGCAATTTGCAATCTCTTATGAGGACATAACTTCGCCGTTTCTAACAAGATCAAGTCTTGCCTTGCCCGGCCCATACTATAAATTACCTAAATAGGCATTAATGGAGCCAAGTGCCCTAACCCGATGTGGTACACATATTACCCAATGGGGAATAGTTGTTCCCGAAAAAGGTCCACTGCATACCAAGCAGGAAGTTCTACACATATTCCAGGCTCCATTCTACCCTGCAGGGTACTTGCTGGAGCTATTAGGTGATCGCATCAGCTTGAGTGACTTGCTACAGTTTCCTATGTAGGCATCATGGACCTCTATCTTTCCTTGCGCTTAGCGCGACATGTATGCCGTATCATCTAGCGCCTTTCTACAAGTTATGATTAGATAGTCATTGTTGCAAGGATCCTGGTTGCGCTTAGATATTGCTATACACCTTTTAATATTTTGATCTGTTTCGCTTCCAATACCATATTAGCAGAGACTACTGCCGTCTTTGGGGACTCTCCCCCGGCGTGCAAGTCCCCAGAACCGAGCTTTGTTTCCTTGCATGGCCCTTACATGTTAGAACCTTGTTGGGTAACAGTTTCAACGGTTTCTTATACCTGTTGTTATTGTACGCTCATACAATAGAGCTCACCTTCCTTGGAATACCAAAGATGGGGATTATTGTGCAGTATGATAGTTTTTATATCAGATGTGAATGAGATATCATGGATGTGTGGAACTAGATCCGCAGGAATGAAGGCGAAAGATGTACCATCCTTAACAACTACACTCCTTCTTGAACTGGATATATCTTGTCCAGTTACAGAACAGAAGTGAAAGTATGAGCGGTATGTAGAACAACTGGGACTGTGAGGAAACTCACTATTGAAGCGATTATCAAGAAACAAAGTGATTCATATTAAGTCAGTAAACAACCCAACAAAGCGATGTGTGACAGTGGTCGTCAACAGCAACCATCATGAAGTCCATTCCTGTAAACAACACACAGTTGGCTCTCCAAGCTTCCTCACTTCTAAGGCTTCATTGCAATATCCCCTAGCATTCATATCTTCAAACCGTTGCATTGGTTAATCCTCAAACCTCACACGTCCTTCTTGTCCATCCGCTCACAAGACTATTTACTAAGATGCCTCGACGAGTTCGTCCTCTTCATTATGATAGTGTCAAGCCATTCTTCCTTTGGTGCATGCATTGTCAGAGAAGCTGCACCAAAAAATACGACTAGGAAGCCGATCACCCATTCGAAATTGACTGTCACTTTGACGGGAAAAGTCTTTGTCGCCAATGCTCGGGCAACAAAGTGGCATGCAATTCAGTATTTGTTTGTAACCTGGTTATCTGATGCTACTATACTAACTCTATTAGGTGGCACCAGGCATGTTAGGAAATGGATGGGATTACTCCCAAATTCTCCGATGGGCCACTAGCTTTTGGGACATGCGCGAGGACGACGAGGATGAGAATGAGTGGCCAGAGAAGGTTCGCTTAAATGTCGCCAGGGCTCTGAATGATTTAAACATTGCGTTTGACAAGACTGAGATGGTTCATCGGCGTGCACATGCTCTGACAAGCAATGAATATGTACTTTTGCATTACCCGTTGCTTTTAGGCTTACTCTTGACGCTTTGGTAGGAGATTAAGGTGACTTACCGAACTTTTGTCGAGCAACGCCGCCAGCTGCTTGTGCAACTGCCTGTTCCCGACAAAGATGCCGAGGAGGATGAGTGGGAATGTTATAGGTCGTCGAAGCTCTTGCGTCTTTTGCCTGGCGACCCTGGGTATGTTTTATGGATGGTGGCGATTCGGGTATTTACGCGGGCAATCGAAGGTGCTATGACCTGTTGCGCTGTCCTCCGTGGCTTAGACGAGGTCGAGGGACGCGAGATGGTGGATAAAGCACTGCAATCGTTCCCTGTTATGTGCGGGGAGATCTAAGGACAGTGTCGTTATTTCATTGGGAGATGCGCAAGTCATACCATTAGGTCGCTCATTGATTGTACTATTTGGTGATTTCAAAGAGAATCGCTATATCATTGGAGAATGACTTTTTTACCCCTGCATGTTCTAAGGAGGCAACTTTAGTAGCGAAATAATCATCAGAGTTTGGAAAATCAATGGCAAAACCGTAGTCTCCAAGGCCTCCGCGTGTATTTATATCTAAGACACCCTTTAAGGGAAAAGGTTATGTGTACAACATCAAGAAAATCTTGCATGGGATATAATTGTCATTAAGATCCTCTATCTACTTTCCGTCTTTAGAGACTAGGGATGGTATGGTTTATAGTACAATGTTGTATAATACATATATGGACCGAATCATATAACTCCAGGCTCCCTGAAATGCTTTTGCAATACGCGTTTCCCCGATTTTGCAGACCTCACCGCCATTCCCCTACTCGCTCAAATTTCTTGACCACGCGTGTAGCTTCCATAATAACAAGCATGCGGGATAAGTCGACGGAGGTAATCTTAGCCTCCACAACACTCAGAATATCCACATCAGATATTTCAGGAGGAGTAACAATTTGACACCGTACTCCTATGGATGTTATGACACCTGAGTACCCTTGTGCGAATTGTGATCCGACCAGGGCAGTAGCGTTGTACGGTTTGTGAACCAGGCAGCTGAAGGTCTCGGGTAGGCGGCATTCGCCGAAATAGAACGCTCGGAAGAGGAGCATACATGCCCAAAATTGTTTCGACGCCGAGTCGATATCCCTTATACGACTACGCTTCCAACGAGATTGCGAAATGAAGTTGTCCACATCCATGTGGGAGAAAGGGAGGACGGACTCATCGGCAGTAGCGTCAAAGCGGCGACCGTGCTCATGCTCGAAGCGCAGTGCAGCCTCGATCTGATAATGGGCCATGAGATCGGTGTATCGTCGCAGAGGACTCGTGGACTTCACATAGGTATCAAGTCCCAGGGGCACGTGGTGAATGGGGCTGGATGAAGAAATGCCTTTTGGGGCCGCCAACTGCAGCCATGTCTGTCCCCCGTAGTCGGACATGTTGCTGTTGGTCAGTTTCGGGTATTCAGGATGGTAGAATGTTCCATCGAACACAGCGGGGATGTTACGTTCAGCCAGCCACTTGCCGGAAACGTAACATGCTAAATTCATCAGTGTTGAAATAAGATTGCGTTTCGTTAGATCAGGCACTTCGTGCGGGTCAACGTTTCGTGGGCGAAGTTGGATAATGGGATCCCCTAGTATATACCGTCCTTCCGTCAATTGCATATTGTATGGTTTCAACGGTGCGTTGCCAACAGTGACTGAGACAGGAGTATCCATCGACGACGGCCACTCCATTGCGCCGTTCCTTCGTCGGTGTTCCCGAAACGCGAGCATCAACTTTCTCAGTGTGTGAAAGGTCTCTTCATCCTCTGAAGATAATTCTTCCTGTATATTATTGCGAGTGTGCTCACTGGAGTACTCCCCTCCTACCGTCAGCGGTTCCAGGACCCCCTGTGATTCGGGCTCAAATAAGCTGCGTAGTTTATCATGCGTGATATAGATAACGTTTCTAGCTATGCCATTGACAATGTTGGTATCCAATATCTCGCCCTGCAGATTCATCTTGGCACTGAATGTCAATGTCGGACGGCCAGACGCCAGACTGAAGTGCGCTTGCGTTAACGTGTTTGGAAGCATGGGGTATGTACGCTCTGGAGCATAAACGGTCTGGACACGAGAGGCCGCATATTCCATGATCGTAGCATCAGGGTTAACAAATGCAGATGGATTAGCGACATGGACACGGATCCAGAAAGTGTCCTCCGACCCCGGTATGCGCTCCAGAGAGACACCGTCATCAATCTCCTGTGCACCAGGGTCATCGACACAGTAAATCGGTAGGTTACCGAAGTCCGTCCGCATACTCTCCATTTTGTCTGTGATCCCCTCTGAGTTGAATTCTTCACAGGCCCGTTGTACATCCTCCCACATTCTGTCTGACTGGAGGGATATACCATGTCCTGGAAGTGCCAAATTTTGATCCAGTAATCGCAAGTTCTCCCATGGAGATACAACTCCCAATTCTTGCAAGAAAAGAGCAGCCGTGCCTGCATTTGTGTCCAGAGCACTATACATTCCTGTGGCGCGCATAATGTGCGACCCAGCCGAGCGAAGAATTCTAGATGTCATCCGTCGGGGAGGAATACACCAAAGCTGAAGAAATTCGATGATCATACGATCAGTGTAACTAAACTTCTCCGTCAAGACCTCACGATAAACCAAAGGCTTCCCATCTTGGCCAGGCTGATATCGCTGCGCTGTTGGACCGACACAAGCCAATATTGTTGGCGACCGAACCTTTCGGCTGAGCCTTATAAGACGCTGGGCTTTCTGGATGAATTGCTGGATAGGATGGTCTTTCGGATTAGGTACCTCATTTCCTGTAACCGCACGGATGAGATACTCTTGGTGTTCATGCACCCATGTGACAACTGTGTCGAGTATATTGGCGACTCGCCTCGGTTGAACGAAGTAGTGGTCGGTGAAGATGGAGCTCCGATCATTCTCGATGAGAAAGGAATTTCGACGAATGGCCCGATGTATGGCAAACAAGATCTTATCATCGACATGGTCGCTTGTAATATCGAGCGCTTTGCAAGCCAGCTCCTTGAGTGTAAACTCAAGTTTCTCTTCCTCGTCCGCCACTATGTCATGTATATTGTCCAGCCGGTAGGCATTCGCTTGGTAGAACTGATGGACCTGTTCGTTGAAATCATTGATCATCCGCAAAATAGGCGCACCTGTGGGCCGAGGCACCCCTCCTTCTATAGCTGATTGCATCTCTAAGCTGAGCTGCGCGAGGGCGTCTGGGAAATGGGGTAGCAAGGGGGCCACCAGTTCTCGCGGGACGAACCCCTTTATGACGAAATCGAGATCCTTTGCAAAAGCAATGCGCCATTTTCCTCGATCAGTATAGAATTGCTGTTGTTTACAGACAGACCGAACGTAAACAGCAAGATTCAGGATACCTTCGGCACTTTCAGGAACCACAGTCAGTACGTTTAAAACAGCGGCGGGCAATGAGGGGCAGCATACGAGGACAGTGCCACTAGATCTCCCGGCTCCAGAAAGTCATGCATTCCTTCCCCTTCTTCGGCAATATTTTCAAAGTCCGAAACATCTTCGTCCGTCTCTCGCAGGGCATCGCTACCTGCATCATGAGCTTCCCGGTAGTCGTTTAGCATGTTTCCAACCCAAGGCGCCGAAGCATCCAATGTATTCGATGTCCCAGGCCCCCGGACAGGGTCCAGAGGGTTCGGATGGCTCTCCTGCCATTTTCTCAAATATTCCCGGATATCTTTATTCTCCTCGAACTCGGATTTAAGGCGGATGTCTTCAATAGAAGTGGAAGATCTCAGGAGGTCTTGCGGGGGGCTCTAAAGCTGGTTAGAGTTGTCACGACTACAACCAAATTGAGTATACCACACCTTTACTTCACTAAAGTATCTGCTTGACCTATCACAGCGGCATAATGGGAATTGATTGCGTGGAGGGAGAGAACGAAAGTGAGAAACAACTCCGGAGATCGAAGTCGCCGAACGGTTCCGGTTGAATATATTCACGTCAGCCACACTCTGCGACACTCGACTCCTCAATAGAGTTAGAGACATCATGGAGCATTATAATGCCCAAGTCTGAAGTAGAACCCCTCAATCAAAGCCGAAGAGACGTGGCGAACAACATTATCGAAGCAATTCCAGCGCCGCAAAGCCTGCTGGATAATCTTGGCAGAATAGCCTTCACCGCCCAGGCGGTGAGTTTATGGATATTTCCGTGTTCAATTCCTAGTTCGGTTTAGCGTCTGGAACTCATATGATTAGCCTGTTTACTCCTCTTACTCTCTTACTTCCTCTATCATCTTCCACTGTTGCCATCTAGTCTTCTACTTTCTTGAGGTACGTGGCTGGCTGGCGCTTTTATCTCGGTACATTTTATGTGAAGGTGGGAAATCGCGAGGTACCAAGCAATCAATCACTTTATGTTTAATGAAAGTCTCGACCAGCAAACGGAACTGTTTCTAAATCAGTTCCAGTTGCGGTACATGATTTGTCGGCAATTTTATCCACGACCCTTGTCGATAGAGCTTTATGCAGCTTGGCTTTACTCCGTACAGGGGAAGGAATCAATGGATGCCTGGGATTTTGGACCCAATCCATTTCTGGCAACTCATCTGCTGACGGAGATTTCTTTTCCGAAACCCGCTGCGGTATAGCCGTGACGGCATAATCCAACCGCACTACCGTAAACCAGAGCCATGAATTGCTGACAATTTCTTCTCTTCGCCTTGTTTACTGCTTTGGGAAGATAAGCATGGTTCGAGTTCACTGCGGATTTGCCACACTACGGATACTTGCTTGGCATTCTACCGGCTCCTCGGTCCCTGGATAGACCCTAAACTCATTTCTCCGCTGTCTCCACGTCTACACACAAAATTATACGGTTATAATGCAAATCCTCGGCTACTTTGCGACGGTAGAAGACCGTGTCTATCATTTTTGCATGTGAAATGTGATAGTCGAGTTGTTGATCGTTTGGATCCCATTCGGCAACTGCCAAGCATTCGACTCTCCTCCTTACGGAGTGTCGATCAGGCGAAACCTTGCAATATATCCATGAATTAAGTCCGCTAAATCGAACTAACCTTATAATCTAGTCTAAGTCTCCTAGGGCCTGTTCATCATTTCCTGAATTGTACAGCCGAGTCCTCCCAAAGCCTCATCTGTCAACGTCCCAATGATCGCTCTGACACCAGTCATGCAATGGCTTATTTCCCCGCATGATGTTCAAAGAATGACCTCGCAAGTACCGTTGCTATTCAGGCTCGTTTAAGCGGTCAAAGTTGTGCTATGCATTTAGCGTGATGATTTTCCTAAAAACATTCCTCGAAAGTGTCCATGCTTGCGGAGATTGATGATGGAAATACTCGGTGCCCCTGATCCATACGATGTTTGCTACTGCCAACGTCAGCATTTATGCCTCGGATATTAGGCACTCCTTTCCCCTGGCGAAGTCCCTTAGTATAGGGATGTTATTAACAAGCAATCCCTCCCTTTTTCACCAACCTCCTGAAACACAACGAATAACCTGTCCTGAGGCAACCCGGTGTGGATATGTGGATTTGCGGATGACTACCAAGTTATTAGAAATTTTTTTCTAAGGGCTTTTCCATTAGCAATTTGCAGCACCAGTTCCGGGCTGTTTACTAGTAAACTATCCGTTGATCTCCGTTACGATCGGAGGTCCACTTCGCTACCATGGAACCTATACTAACTTGGCACGGACAGCCATCGAGGATTATATTCCGGTTAGGCACCGCATAGCCCCTCTTCTTCAGGCTACAAGTCTACTAATACGCTAGGTTTTAGCAACTCAGACGCCTATAGCCGACATATTTCTCGGATTTTGAGTCCGTGCCATAGGCCGCACGGGGATCAGCAGAGAGACCTGGTCTCGGGGCAATGGAGCCGTTCTCCAAAAGCCAGGTCTTCCTTTACCTAAGTCTCATCACCAGTTTCCGGTATGACTCCACTGCCGCCGGTAGTGTGATTGTGACGGTGGAGCCATTGAACCCTGAAGAAAGCTATCAATGACTGACGAGTAGTATCGTCAGGTAGTTCGAAGGCCCCTTTTCGGCCCCTGCCCAACTGCCATAGCAAATACATATATAGCGCTTTCCCGTACGCATTTTAGTGATTATAATATCATAAATTAAACCCAAAACTTGCATAATCCACTTATTCCATATTCCTTGCTCCATTATCATCTATACCGGCCACCATGAAACCCGACCAAGCATGGCGAACAGCCATAGTGACTTCCCTGGCTGCCTTCAGTTCGTTGGCGACAGCAGCAGACATATGCTCCAAGCTCAACCAGCAAGGAGTAGCGATCCAGAATCGTCTGACTATTCCGTTCCTTAATGTTCTGAAAGACTACTGGTCCACCGCGTGCGGCGATCTCCGCCCAACATGTATCGCCTCTCCCAAGAGTGCTCTTGAGATGTCTCAGATCGTCAAAGAGCTCCATGATGTTGATACCTTGTTTGCGGTCAAGTCCGGTGGACACATGCCCAACAATGGCTTCGCCAGCATTCAGGACGGGCTCCTAATCAGCACCCAGAACCTTGACAATGTCATCTATAATGCGGAGGATCAGACCGCCATTATCGGGCCGGGGCTTTCTTGGGAAGATGCACAGAAGGGCCTGGATGGAACAGGTAGGACCCTTGTTGGTGGTCGTCTTGGGGGTGTGGGTGTGGGTGGATATATGCTTGGAGGTACAGTGCTTTCCCCTTCCGCTCAAACAATTTGAACCGTTCTCTGACTTACTCTGCACTCAAGGTGGGCTAAGCTTCTTGAGCTCTCAGTATGGCTGGGCAGCGAACAACGTCATCAACTTCGAGGTCGTCCTTGCCAACGGCACCATTGTGAACGCAAACGAGAAGGAGAACACCGGTAGGCGAAGGTCCATAAGGAATCGGGATCCGAGGCAGAGGGTGACAGTGGAACAATAGATCTCTTCGCAGCCCTCAAAGGAGGTGGAAACAATTTCGGCATTGTCACGGCTTATACCCTTCAGACACATCCAATGGATCATAAGGTTTGTCACCACTTTATCAAAAGGCCTTTTGTATGTGTCTAACTAAGACAGGTCTGGGGAGGGAACTACGTCTTCAGTGCGGACAAGACGCCTCAAGTTCTCGAAGCCATCCGTGATTTCACCGAAAACTACCCCGATGACAAGGCCGCCATCATCGTGACGGCCGAGCATGCCGCGCTCATCAACACTTGGATCATGTTCCTCTTCTACGACGGACCGGAACCTTTGCAGGGCGTCTTCGATCAATTCAAAGCCCTTAGGCCATTGGACACGACGAAGACGTGGGACAGCTACTACGATTTGGTCCGTAATCTACGTCTAACCAGACTGCCTATTAAGCTGACATGTGGTCGCAGCTCAAACACAACGACTTCTTCATCTTAAAGTAAGGCAGCCCATCAACATATATCGGTTAGAGGAGTGCTAAATAAAGCAGGGGCCAGCGGTACACCATCGCAACGGAAACAACACCTGTTCCCGACAAAACGGTCGGCGCAGAGGTTATGCAAACGTACTACGACCATTGGTTTAACATCACGAATACAGTCCTAGGCGTTCCGAATATGATTGGCTCTATCGCATTCCAGCCGATGCCCAGAACGATCGCGCAGAAAGCTCAGGCCCGTGGCGGAGTAAGTCCTGTAACTTCCTAAACCCTAGCCACAGCGGCTAATCACACATATCATGACATTAGGACCTTATCAATTTTCCCACTGATCAGGATTATCTCGTTATCGAGCTGGACTTCTCTTATGCTTTATCGGCAAGTGACGAGAAGATCGATGCCGCAAACAAGAACCTGTTCAATGGGTTCGACAGGATCATTTCGAATTACATCGAAGAAGGCGTGCTACCAGACGTTTACAGGCCGTTGTTCATGAACGACGCAAACTACGCGCAAGACTACTGGAGCCGTCTGGGTTCGACTGAACAAGCGCGCGAGACGAGAAAGAAGTATGACCCCGAGTTATTTTTCCAAAAACGGACGAGTGGAGGGTTCAGACTTGGATGAGTATGACACGATGCTGCAGTAATCTATATTTTTCAAACTGTCTAATATACACGCTACGCTTAAACCACTCCTATGGATAATACTATCAATAACATCCTCAATAATAATTTCGATATCCTCAGTTTACATCTAAACCAACCACCAACCGAAACCCCCCGATCAAACCGAAACCCCAAAATAACACCCACCAATCCCCCAAATCAACAATAAACCAAATATAAAAAAAAAAGCCCAATAAAACCATCCCAAACCAAACCCACCTCCAAAGTACCCCCGTCTCAAGTCCAAATAAGCTCACGCCACTAATTGGCCCAGAGCTCCCCCCAGAAAGCCACCCTAAGCGCCGACGCGGATCCCACGCCCCCAAGCACGCTCAACATCCAATCCTGCGTCCCATTTCTATTTCCGGCTCCGTCCTGCAGGTATGAATCTACGCGCTGGTGTCGAGGCTCAACTTCCTTCCCTGTTTGAGCTTGCATTTGGAGCTTGGACGGGGTCTAGATTCTTTTCTTGGGAATTTGGGGGTAGAGGATTTGATTTGTCGGTAGGCGCTGGGGATCGGCGGTTGGCGGGTGAGCTTTGATCGTGTACTTTGGGTCTAGATCTTGACGTTTTGATGTGCGTGTGTGCTATATTTGTTTTCTTAATCTGGAGTTTAGGGACTGGGTGTGTAGTATATAAGGGTGTGTTTTGGTCTTGTGAGAGGGAAGATAGTTCAAGATCAGATCATCGCATTCATTACTTAATAATAAGTCGAACGTTCCTTTGAGAATTTTTTTATTGTGTCTTTGTTTTGAAAAAAAAAAAACGTTCTTTGTATCGATATATACATTAATAGCGCTCCTTCAACCTGTTTCTCTCTTGTTCAACAGTTGAAAAGATCCCGATATACAGTCATTACATCCTGTCTTGATCTGCGCATCTAATCAAATCAACCTTCCAACATGCCTAAATACGGAGCCCTTGGCGCAACTTTCATGATCGCCCGGATCATCCAGGCCTGCTGTCTTATTGCTATCATCGGATTGACGGCCAACTTCATCGCAGAGATTGTGAACAGTGACCTCACTCCTCCTGGCATCTTTATCGGGACAATTACAGTGGTATGCCGCCAGCCCTAATCTCAATCATTAACCCCGTTCGAAACAGAATTACCAACTAACAGGGGCGGATTCAAAATAGACCTGCATAGCTGTAATCTACTGCATAATCACCGCGATTCTTTTCTTCGACAACATCCTCCCCTTCCTAGCTTCCGCCATTGCTGACTTCCTCCTCCTCATCGCCGTCATTGTTGTGGCTGTCATCATCGGAAAACCACTGTCATATCTGCAATGTGATAAGATTGCTGAGATTACCGACAAGATTTCCAGCGCCTATGCCTTCGCCACGAAACTGAGTAGCTATCTATCCCATCTGAACGGAACGTTGCAGTACGGGACTTTGATCGGCGCCAGTAAGGGGGTTTGTTTGGAGGCGAAGAGTATTTGGGGGTTGAGTATTGCTTTGTGGTGAGTTCTTTTCTTCTCTCTTGTTTCCTTCAATGTCGTGTTGTTGGCGATTCCTGTGGATTGAGTCTGGTGCTAACTGCAAGCAAGTATCATGTTCCTTTTCTCGACGATCTGCTGCATCTGTCTCTGGAAGCAGAAGAAGGCGAGTGGGACGGAGAAGTTGGATGGCTAGGCCGTTTCGGTATGAATAATGTGTATCGGTTATGGGAAGGTTGATGTTAATGTGGTCGGCGGGTATTCTCGAAGCGTCGCATTATGAAGTAATATTTTTTTTTTCCCTTCTGTAATTTTTGCTTTGTCTTTTGCATATTGGTAATGTTTGCCCTAATACTCTCCATTCCCTGAGGTTCTCAAGCTTTCTGCCTGTCTGTCTGTCTGTCTGTCTGTTTCTTTCTTTTTCTGTCATATTCTGCTCCATATATGTCTTTCATTCCATTGTACGTAGCACCTAAATAATCCAGTCAGCCAAAATCCACCCCCAATTCCAAAACATCAACAACTCACTACCCTAAACTCAAATACAACCTCCACACCAACTCACCCTTCCTCGCCCCTTCCTCCATAAACAAACCAAAAAAAGATGGAGTCAATCACCCCGAACTAACAGGCGGGATAACAGCAACTTCATTCCCCGCCTCAATCACCACCCCCTCACAATCATTGATATCCACATACTCCTCTCCCAGACTCACTCCACAGCTACTCAGTACCTTCTCTTGTATGCCGGGGTACTTGGACTCCAGGATATCAAAGAGCTGGTTGAGGGGTAGTGGGGCGGGGAGGGATTCGGTCTGTTTGCCGGTGTAGGTGGTTGCGGATGAGAAATAATGGATTTGGAAGGTTGGGGTTGTCATCTTTTCTTTTTGTTATCTTTCTTCCTTTTTGGTTGTGAGGGTGTGTCGAATGTGTTTTGGAGGTGATGAAGTCGTAGTAGGAATGAGTTGGAGAAAAGACGTTTGCGAGAGGGGCGGAGAACTAGACCCAATTCATCAACAATATATATAAATGCGGGGTTGATGTTGATATCATCGCTTATCATCTACTTGATTATCTCCGAGACACTACTGCAGAAAATTAAAGGGAGTCAGACGTGTCGATCTGATCATTTCCATTGACGTATCCAATTATATGTCCATACCATGTCGTAAATCTAATCCTACTGACTCAAAGCTCGGAATGCGTCTACCAAATCCCTCCGCAGGTCTTCCCAATTCTCTAATCCCACACTGATCCGCAACAATCGGCGATCCACCGTCGCATCACTCATTGTCCGCCACTCAATTAGGGTCTCCACGCCTCCGAGACTAGTGGCATGCTGGAAGAAGGCGAGTTTACTGGGCAGCTTACGCGCATAGTCCTCGGTTTTCATGCTGATCGAAAACACCGGTCCGAACCCGTTCGGCATCTGCTTGAGCAACCATGATTCGTCCTCTTTCTGCAAACTAGCATGGAACACCTGTTGCAGAGCAGCCTGAGTCGCAGCTTCGTCGCTGTCAGGGGCTGGGTTTTGCGCCTGCAGTGCGTTGTGCAACCATGTGACCAGGTTCGTGGCATTCTGGCTCTGCCGCTGCACGCGAACCTCCAGGGTCCGCAAACTGCGCGTGCCTAGCCAGCTCTCCATATTGCCCATTACACTACCCAGGAACATCCGATCCTCGAACAGCCGCCGGGCCCAATCACTCCGCTGTGTAGCTAGAACACCACAAAGGAGGTCGCTGTGTCCACCGAAGTATTTGGTACCGGAATGCATGACCAAATCTGCACCCCATTGGAACGGGTCCTGGAGGCCCGGCGGAGCAAAGGTGCTATCCACAATAAGATATGCTCCGCGCGAGTGCGCTTTCTTGGCGTACTCTTCGATGTTGAAAGCAGTGCCTTCAGGGTTGACCGGAGTCTCCAGAAGGATCGCATCTCCCGACTCCAATTGTTCAGCGGGGCAGTCGAGATCCAGCTTTTGAAGACCGGTGAGACGGCCGAAGAGCTTAATAACACCGTGACATCCATGGTATCCGTTTCCAACTGCAATTCGGCGGGGATTCAGTAGAACGAGTGCTGCATGCAAGGCTGAGAGACCGGACGAGTAACTGATCGCCTCACCATGGAGAAGTGAAGAAAGGAGGGCCTCAAATCGGTTCAAATTAGGCGACGTCAGACGAGAGTAGATATGCTTGGTCTTGTCCTGATCATACTAAAGTGAAGCTATCAGACCGGCTCAACGAATTGCATAGAATGGCCGAAGATCAAAGGAACATACACCACTGAGATCTGCTGCCGGCACAAGTTCCTCGGGATCATCAGGGTACCGGAAGGTGGTGGAAAGGTGCAGCGGAGGGGCTACATCGGTGACCACGTTCAGCGCCTCATCTGCATGCAAGGCATGCGTAGCAGCGGCAATGTTGTCGTTGGTTGGAGCCATTGTACAGTACGGGCCCTGGGAATGGCTAGGAGAGAGGGGAGAAAGAAGATCACCGACCGAAACTGGGGATTCAACACCGGCCTCTTGAAAGAAGTGGGGGAAAGACCGGGAGAGAGGGGGGTGACACGTGACACGTGGGTCCGCCGTTCAACTGCGTGATATTCATTTCATATATACAAGTCATCAATGGTGGCCACATAGATACAGTGTTATTTGCTAAACGCGGGTTTACCGCCGAAGAGAACTCATCCGAGATGGTTCCCGAGACGATCCTGGAAGGGCAGCTTGCAAATTGGCTCGGTCTAGATCGGAAATTGTTAGCGCAGCCTACTATTCCGTCGGGCGGAACAAACATACCAGCTTCAGAATCGAAACCAATCGAAATATCATCATTCTCGCTGGGGAAGTCGGGCATATCCAAGCAGATGAAATTAGATGTGGGATCATCGCCGGTTTTTGGTAGCGCAAACTTGGCATCACACAGCTTAATGCAAAACTTGCCCGAGCGGGTGAAGTTTTCGTATACATCGGTGCCTTTGAGTACAAAGTTCATGCACTTTCCATGGTGGAAGTCATTCAAGAATGCTATCAATTGTATCACCTTATCATGTTGAACCACTTGAATCCGGGCTCTAGTCGATTCCCATTTCTTCGTAATTGGTACCACCATGCGACGTCGTGATATCGTGAAGGAAGTAGCAATACTGGTTCCGTTAGTTTGGCGAGACCTGGCCAACAAAGAAGATCTATCATACCCATCATATAGCACATTGAAGCCCGTGACGGCGGCCTCAAACTTGTGAAGGTCTGCGAAAATCAGTAACTAGGTCGGACAAGCGCTACTTAGCAAGAAGGAATACCTTTGACAGTCGCAAAGTCAAACCGGCGGACCATTGGCTTGACCATCGCGATCTGCATGAAATCCGCCAAGCGGTCCGGCATCTCAGGAGCAGTGAGATTCTCGGCGATGGAGATGGTCAGATCATGTTGTCCAGGCCGGTACAGACTAAGGCCCGTACGGTTGTTGATGTCCAAACCCAACTTCAACTCGCCAGGACCTAACGTAATATTAGCAGTAGCTCGGCAGCACCTGATTATGCAACATACCAAGGTTGATACGATCCGTGACAGATCCCCATTCTGTCGCCACGAAAGCCCGTAAATGCTCTGAGAGAATAGTTGGGCCATATTGATGGTCAACAAAGGCGTGCTCCTGATCAATAACCGACACACTACCAGCAGGAAATTGCAAGTGGGATGTCTCAGGCTGACCGTTGAATCGATCAGCTGGCTGTTCGATGGAGTAAGCGCGGATAGGGATGTCAGGTGTCTTAATCTCCCCTTCTTTGGTTGTCATCCCGAGCAGTAGAGAATGGAGGGCACTACGCTCCTCGACGTCGTGAAACGTCATTAGCATAGACCGACTCCTGCCATCCTGTTTGACCTTGAGCATGAGTGCCGGCGCCCCATTCTCGCCTCTGAGAAGACCGAACACAATTGGTGCATTATGACCAAGAATGTGGCTTACGTTACTGAGCGTCTTGACCTTGGGGCTTGTCAGAACTGCAATCCGATAGCCTTGGTGTACTTCGCGGCTACCAGTGCCCTCGGTCACGGTCATGGAGCGCTCAAACAGCCGAACGCGGCAGCGCTCAATAGGTTCCGCAGGGAACGTCTTGCTTTTGCCAGGATCCATATATTGGAAAACCTTCAAAGTGGTTTCATAGATTGTAGTCTCGTCGGATTTCGGTTGCAAACTAGCTTCGGTTTGCTGTGTATATTGCACAATGTTCCACAGGTTTTTGAAATCATCCTCTTGGAACATCACGTCCAACTGGAACCCACGGGGAAGTTTCACTTGCATGAAGTTTGATCGCACGCGCCAATGCACATCGTTCCATGTAGGGCCTTTTTTCTTATCCGACTGAATCATGACATTGACCAATTCATTTTGACTGGTAATGGAGGCGAATACGTACCAGTCGGCCCGATCACGAATGATAGATAGTACGCACGGCAGGGGTTCGTCATGGTGCGTACCATCCTCACTGGAGCTCACCATAACCTTCACAAACATGCTTCCATAGCTGAAATATCGACTCGTATCACCTAGTGGCATAATTTGTGCCAGATTCGGCCCTTGCCCAGATTTGTCGACCAACATAGACCTCGTGGCAGTGCCAGAAAGGATGGCTGAGACATCAGGCGCAAAGGCAGGATATTTCAGCCACATCCTGGTGTCGGCCTGGATTCCTGCACCTCCGGTAGCATCGATTGAGGTAATAATATTGTTCCTTTTGATAGACATTGCCAAAGAACGCAAGTGATTTAAGATCGTTTGGTGCAAGCTCAGGAGGTCAGCCAAGCGTTTGTCGCCTGTTGTGCTTGTCACCGCTAGCAAGGCGTCGACGCTCATCGCGCCGTAATGAGTCAACTCGTTATGTTTAGGAATAATGTTTTCACATATCCACAACGCTTTACCAAGATCAACCACAGCCTGTTTCGCGGTTTCCGTGGCAGTAGACTGCTGCGGGCTGGAACCGGAGCTCGAAGGGCGAGATCGTGCGTACACCTCGAGCGTTTTCTTTCCGCGCATAAACCACCATACCGCAGCCCTCACCCATTCTGTGAGCGAATATTCCATCAAGGACTTCTTCCTCTCTGCATCATGTCGAATGAGGCTTTCGTGCTGCGCCACATACGTCTTGAGGTCCGTAAAAGCAGCTTCACCAAACTGGTTAGCGATAGATCGTAAGGACATCTTGGGCACTTGAGGGTTTCGTGGAGCGTCACGGTTGTCTCGACTGCTCGGGCGACCTGGGCTACCCAGGGCAGAATCCCTGGAAGGCGGCAGCGATTTTGGAGGCGAAGCGCTTATCGATACGCTGGCCGGTGTGAGACCAGAAGGTAACGTGGGCTCAATGGGCGGAGAAACTGGTCCTCGCGATGGTGGGCTGGCAGGATTTCGGAAAGGGTTAGCTTCTTGTTCGGCCTCGTCGTCTGAGATCGGAGGTGTTTCATATTCGGAGCTTGGACTATCGGGCACCGTTGGGGCTGCTGCGGCCACAGGGGCCGGCCCTTGCCCTTCCTTATTGTCATTGACCGGTGACGGAGGATCTTGGTAACGATGTTGCAGAGCACGACCTTCCTCAGCTTGCATCCTATCTCGGACTCGCTGTGCAAACGTACTGGATTCGGGCGACGCTCGGAATGACAGGCGAGATCCGGGCTGGCCCACGTTTAGTGTCATGAGAAAATCGGAATCCTGAGAACTCTGTAAAAATAACGGTTTGGTCGCAAGGGGGTTGATTTTGTCTTGCGTGTTCGTACGCTGATGCCGCGACGCAAGCCCGTCTCCCACCGAGGTATCAAGGTGAAGCTGAGGAAGTGTCGGCTGACGAGCATCCAGTATATCTCCCGGTTGACTTGAACCTTGACTGTTTTGACGATTGCGATTCTTGGATATCACCACCGTGGGCGTTTCCGATTCGTCACCACCCTCACCGATCACCTCGGGCGCCCTCTCAACGAACCTGACTCGCAGGCCTTTCCGAGCGGGATTTTTCGGGGGAGCCCTCGGAAAGCTCATAGATGGATAACTATCGGTAGCTGAAGCAGGTTTTGCAATGGGAGAGGCTTCTGAGACGTCTTGGGATGATGATGATTGCCACCGTTGTGAGACATCTAAACGTGGTGCTGGAAGCCCTCGCGAAGCCCCAGCAGTCGAGTGAGCTCCGTGAGATCCATATGATACCGTATTCGAACGAACGGGCGCCAGGAACGACTCGATTTGCTGGTCGGTCGCATCACCACCCCTGCCACCGCCATCAAACTTACTTAGTTTATCCTTCGAAAATAGCTTTTCTCTCCATCGAGGCTTCGTAGTCGGTTTCCGCTGGGGAGTGGCTTTGGGTTCACCCAGGAAGGCGAAAGGGTCATCTGTAGACATGTTCACTATTTCTGTCTCCGATAACTGGCTTGGTATTCTATAGAAGCATAGCAAGTTCGGTAAGATCAGACGATAAGGGTCTTTAGGCCTTGTCTGTACTTTCCCCCGCCAAATCTGACTTTGTAGTGCTTGTGCGCCGACAGGTGATCGACAGGGGGACTAAAACTAGTCCTAGAGTTGCGATTTGGTGTGGTCACGCAAGTACCGTTAAGATCTAGGGAGACTCGAAGGATTGCGACTCGGGCAAACAGCCAAGGATGACAAGGAGCGGCGGGGTACAAGAACGGCTGTACCCCAGGAGAACGTTATCCTGTCCGAGGAAAATGTTGTTTGAGAGTGATCGGGGAATCCAGGTGGAGCGGGGAGACGAGAGGTGATAATAAAACACTCAGGGTCGGACAGCTTCCAACGCAGAAATTCGTCACCAGGCGAATTGGTACTACCGGGGGCTAGGAGACAGGCGTGATTGCCTTCGTTGTTTAGTGGAGTAGGGGACCGGCGATCTGCCAAAACCAATCAATTAGAACGGCCATTCACAGACGGAGTTTGCGACCAAGCGGCCATTGGAGCTGTGCTCAGGGGGGGCATGGAAATTAGGCCATGGAGCTAGACAAACCTAAGGTCCAAGAAATTTAGATAAATCTGCTGAATTCCCGCGCCCCAATTGCGCACGAGGGGGGGGCGTATCTGGAGTGGAAGTGGAGGATGTGGGCTATTGAGTAAGTGACAGACGATAGATAAAAGTGTCAAGCTGAGCCAGCAGCTCTCTTTGTTCCTCGAACGGTTGCAGAAGACGAAGAAGAAGAAGAAGGAAAATCCCACTCCTCAGAAAGAATAATACTACTAGTAGTAAGTCAGAGAAGACAAAGAAAGAAAGAAAGAAAGCGAGAAGAGAGCCAGAGAGGAAAAGGCCGCGCGAGGGAGTATGAAAGTGGACATGGTACGACCTCCGTGCTATTAAACTGTCGCCGACCGAAAGGCGGGTAAACTTCCTGTAATAATGAATGGATGGACGGTAAACTTGGCCTTAGGTCGCTTCTCCGCAATACTAAGTCAGGGAACTCCCCAATCTCAAGGCTATCCAGCCATTCACATTCGACCGACTGTCCTACACTAGATTACATTCCGGACCATAATGGTTTAGCCTTATCATTCTCTACGCACAATGGTTCGTTGCTAGTGCATTATCGGCTTTCATAAAATGAGGATGTCTTACACACCTCCATAGTTTTAATAATATTAATACTACTTAGTACTAGTTGTAGCAGTAGTAGTAGTACAAGGAATAGAGTGAAGAAGGGTGGTTGTTTGCCAATTGTAAAATAATGATCACGTGCTACTTATGGAGGAGAAGATACCGTCATTCGATTACATACATACATACATACCAACCAGACCGCAAAGCAGCAGTATGTACGGAGTATGTACAAGCAAATAGATTGGACTTACTGTAGGTTCGCAGTAGTACGTACAGGGTACCCTAACCTTAGGTTAGGTAGGTATCCTTTACTTGCAACCCGACCCCATGATTCGCGTAATCTTAAGCACTCAGGATTCCTGCACCGCCTCTTTCTAAAACTGCCAGCTATTCATGTCTCAGTAGAAGATCCTCCCAACCTCCTCAACCACCTTACCCTTGGGATAATATGGTCAATCCAACTCAAGGTCATCAGTCAAAACATAAGCGGCAAGTGAAACCCCTACCTATGAAGTCGCGCAACTAGATTAAAATGGATCACGGGAACTTAACCTGGTCCCTACTACACAGGACAAGAGTAGTAGTTGACATCCCGTAATAGGACCTTCAGAGCTTGGTACCTACTACTAATGGAATCCCTGCCGCTTTATCAAGGGAACGCATTCACCATTTTACCGCCTCTGAACCAATCATGAAACAGTCCCACTCCCCTCCTGGACATTCACAAGCCCTCATCATGAAACAACACTAGTCCTGTCTGGGATGGGCCCCGCATTGCTCTAACCCACTTTAGGACAGAGTTGCTGATTGTCGAGTGGACCGATGACGACCCCAAAAAGCCGCCCTAACCTTGGACGAAGCGCCCATGCTAGGGGGGAAGAGATGGAAACTCTTGGTTTTGATTCCCACTTGATATCCTTAGGATTCAATACATAACGTATGTCCATACAATACAGATGAAAGACTGGGATATAGGAACTCAGATGAATTACCTCACTCTGAACAACCCAACCCTGTACGTACAGAAAGACATCTTAACCATGGATGCCTAGGGCCGAGGAGAAGATCGATTGGGGGGTCTCAGTGGGCACCGCAGACGATGTTGCAATTCAATGACGGTCCCGCCACGTTGATGTTCGCTTATTTTTATTTATTTTATTTTAAATTTTCAGATCCTTTCCTTCTTCCTTTTCCTCGATAGGAGGACAATCGTAAATAAACAAAAATTTCCCTCCTCAGGTCCACTGATGAGCATTGGGATTGACATGTTTTGAGCTGATTTATTCCCGCTGTTGGTACGTGAATGAGCCAAATAACGGCACATAAATTCTGATGAATTGACGCTGGGCACGTCCCTCTGTTTCCTGTCCTCCCTCTGGTCTTAATACTTAATACCCGAGCTATATTTCTGTAGTGATAATGTCTTACTGTCTGGATATTTCCACAGCGACAGCGCAAGCCACAAAAACGAAATTACACAAAACAGCTAGAAGCCTCTCTAGCCATGTCCTATACTGCTACACCTGAAACTCCATTCATAGACTACTAATTGGGCATGGAGTGAGACTTGAAACGCCAGGCATGTCTTTGATGGATGACAGCCAAAGCTTGGCAGGGACAATTTTTATTCACCCATTAGGGAACAGTTAAGCGGAACACAGTCCTCTCACATTCACAAATCTTGTAAACTAGCTGTATATCATGGGCAATTGGTCTTCTTGGGCACTCTTCTACGTACGGAGCTCTTCGGTCGGGCAAGCCCAACAAGAGAAAAAAAAAAAAATAGAAAAGAAGAAAAGAAGAAAAGAAGAAAAGAAGAAACCGAATGCGTAATTTGTAATTGATCCCTTACCGACGGCCACGTCCTTATGATCACATTAAGAAGACCCGCCGACGATACGCCCTAACAGGCATCATGTCCAGTGCCTGTTTTCCAAAGGAGCCGAATATCAAATGAGCCAAGATCGGTAGGTGTCTGTTCGTAACCTCGGCTTTCCTCTTCCATCCTTACCGGCGCATTCTGCGGGCTATAGCCACATAACTTTTGATTGACAGAACCACAAATCCGCTGTCATGTCATGGCATATCTTGACCTCTTCAGGTGGCGAAGTCGGGTTAGAGTTCATGCTTAACGGTGAGGACTGGTTTCGTGGAGGTTTAATGTCCTCTAGACAGTTGTCATCTTGGCTTTGATCGTATCGAAATTTTGACAGTTAATGTTCACCCCTTAGAGCAATTATATTGCATATCGTACATAAGCTTTGGATTGAGGAAAGAATATTTGACTGTGTGTACCTTCTCCTCCTCCTCTTTCTTATTTAATTTTAATTTTTATTTTACTTTATTTTATTTTATTTTATGTGTTATATGTACTAAAGCTATATAGTAATTCGCTCTAGACGCTACGTGAAGAAAAGGAAGAACGAATAGGAGTTGTCTGGTTCAGTTCCTTATACTAGGAAGTATACGTACATACGTACGTACTCACCTAAGTTATTAAAGAGCCAGCACATACTCCGTATCATGATTGCATATAAGAAGGTTTGCCCGTCTTGTTGCTTCCCCTGGTGTGGTCCACGGTGGGCGCTAACATGTTGGGAGCGCCAAATACATACGCAGTACTCCGTAGGCAACGACATTTTAACCCCCTTAATTAAGAAGAGGGATAAAAGAAAACCCCATGCAATGGATATGGGAGCACTCTGGAAAGAGCTTTGACTATAGGGACAGCGTTTGCGGTGGTTAGTGCTCTGTATGCAGCATCGCTCAATTGAAGTTTATATACAGTCCGATGCAAGGGGACACTATTTAGTACTGAGCCGATTTGATACCGTTGAACGGTTATCTAGTAGGTAAATAACGGTTAGTGTGTTTACACTGCTGATTGTCAATACTTAGATAATTAAACACCAATCAATCACTAAGTAGCAATTATCATGTTGACAACAAAAATCCACTATTTGTTTTCGGTGGTTTTAGCAGGGCTATAGTAGCGACGGTTGAATTTTTCTTAACATCGCACGTTGAATATGGCTCCTAAACTAGCACGTGCAATACGTCGAGAGATTCAGACGAGAGATGCAAACGCATTTACAGTACTCAGTACAAGACATACGGAGTAGAGTCTTTTGACATGCGGTTCGGGCGCTTAGCGAGCTTCTCGAATGATCTGAGAGTGTACAGCCTCTGTCACATTCGTGATGTCGGGGAAAGCCCGGTATACATGTCCGCACATGGAGAGAGAAATATATATCTGGTCCAATCTACTATCCGAGATGGTAGTACAGCGATGTTTTTGTTTTTGAAGAATACGATCGCTGGGAAAACTGATCTTATGCACTCTTCAGCTGCTTTCAAACCCACTCGCATGCGAACTTGTAGATGACGCATCGCAGGGAAAAAAACACGAGGAGCAACAACCAATAACCAGCTGGGTATCCGCATCATCAGCAAGGAGGATTTGCGGTCGATAAATAATTTTGATGCATGAATTCCTCCGACAGCGACCATAATCTCTCTTCTTGGGATTTCCACCGTGAGCACTAAGTCAACTAGTAAGTGGGTTCCATAAGAGGTATCCATACGAGGGTCCAGAACCAGCTAATTCTGGTTGGTCACCGTAGGCGGTGGGAGTTCGATCGTCTCTATCGATTGATTCTCAAACGCTGTGAAACCGGAGTTAGAATAGATATCGAACTACTTCTCTTCTTCCATTTCATAGGGAAAATCGGTTCACAATGGCCATATAACGTAATGGTTATAATACCAATAGCAATAACAATAGGACCAAGCGAAATCGAAATCCCACGGTGATAGGTAATAATAGTGACATGGCTGAGACACGAGTGGGCTGAAAAAGAGGCTTATACGACCGTTGGGTGGTGAAGATGAGTTGTGGTGGTGGTGGTTTGGTAGTGGGTGTGGGCTTTCGTTCAAGCTGGTTTTAGCGTTTCCAAGTTTAGCATCAAAAGCCACACCACCCAATCCATTGATTGGGCTTGAAGCAAAGGGAACAAACATAGCGCTGTCCCCGTCAACAGTTGGTTTCGGGTCTATTCGACGGAAGCTTTTTGGCCTTCACATTCCAATCAATTTCCATCCTTGTTTTTTTCCCTTTTACTTTTTTTTTTTCTGTGGCTCTAACCAGTAAATGCGCTCATTTGTGTGAGAAAAAGGAAAAAAAAAAGCCAAAAACAATAGAGGGATCCCTATCGGTCCTCCATACAGTCATTGCCGGGCTTCCCTTCACTGTTTACCTCCGCTTGCGCTTTTTGGACCTGGAAATCCCTTCCCCGCCGCCAATTTTCGGAGTTATGGTCCCTATCCCCTACATTTCCATTTCGGGGCATTGAGAGGAGTAGTTCACTCCTATTCTTATTTGGTCCTTCGATCGCGATACCTTATTTCGCCACCCTCCCTGCAAACCGATCCTCCCCCGGTCTGTTCCGTTCGCTCTGTTCACCTGGAAGTTCGCGGCTTTACCGAGCCGATTAGGCAGACGCTGATAGCTTCAGAAATCCTCGGATCTTGGTTGGACAACGTGGATTAAATCGTCTACGAGGGGGCTGACCTCCCCAAGGAGGTCATCCTACATATACCCGAAGATCGTGATGTGCGTAGACCAACTTGCGAGATGGCATGACCGACGCGCACCTGGGGTTTCCATACACAAACCGCCATCGTTTCAGTCACAAGATGAGTGGGATAGCTTGCGATCGTCGCGACGACATTGGATTCGGTCCGGTGGCGGGGGAACAGTGTGGATATTGATGCTACTGTTGGTGATACTGGTGTCTCCGGCCTATGCTGCTCTGGTGAACTTCGACAATTGCTTGCCTGCGCCCACCATCGCATCGAACCCCCAGAAACTCCAGTTTGTCCCGCTCGATGTGTCCGTGAAGTTCGACTTGACGAATTCGCTGCATAACTTAAACATCACGGTATACGGTAATGTTTCTGGGACCGCCGACCAGTCGTCATCCTATCCATCTCCCGATGATCCGCAGTGGACAAACCCGAACGCGACGGTGGGAAAGATCGTGGACCTGGATACGGCCAACAACAGATACAGTACCCTGATAACGACTGTTGATGTGGTTAGCTTCTCTCCATACAGTGGTCCAACTAGGTTCTGTGACTCAATCATCCAAGGAGGGTGCCCGCTGGGACCTGTCTTCTACTCTAATGCGTGAGTATTCAGGCTTTACCACTGTCCAAACGTTGTCGAACTAACTGAATGTTGTAAATATCACTAGGAGCGACCTGAGTTCTTTACGCTCTTTCTCGGTCCAACATGACATGCTCTCGTCGTACCGCTTTGCGACCCTGTCGTCAACTCTCTTAATCAAGTCTGGCGATGCAGCGGCCACTGAGCTAGGATGTATATCGGTTGATGTCACTCCAGATCTTGGATCGGCCCTGAAAAGTGCGCTAGCTTATGTCCCTCTTGTTATCCTAATCCTCGTAGGAGTCGCGACCGTAACCGCCGCAATATACAGTCCATGGGGCACAACGGACCCCTTTCACTGGACAAGCAATTATGGCCGCGATGAAGATGTCCTTCGCCTGGTGACGCCAGGGTTCGGGGACTGCCTACAATATATGCAATTCGCGGTACTTACAGGAGCATTGTCGCTGAACTACCCCGGCTATTATCAACCGGTGGTGAGTCAGGTTGCGTGGTCAACCCTCATGTTTAACCAGAGCTTTCTAAGCCCCGGGAATGAGCGGAATCCTGTAAAGGATGGTGTATACACCGTGAACGGTACCTACGGGCTGGACACCCTACAACAATATGTTGGAATGGAGTCGGCGCGGGATATCTGGCCGGGGATGATTATATGGTTGCTTGCGGTTGTTGTCGCGATCACGCTCATTATCCAGCTCGCCTTTGCATGTCGGTGGCTTCATCGTGAACTTGCCCATATTCCGGAGGAAGACCTACGTTCTAAGAACATGCCGTTCACCGTCGGCAACGTCATTCGAATCGTCTGTAATTATCTGTTCTTACCGCTCATTTCGCTCTCCTTTTTTCAACTGGTTATCGCTAGACAATCTCCAGCATACTCTGTGGCTCTAGCCGTCGTGGTCATTCTCATCATGATAGCTTTTGCAATCTGGGTCATCCGGTTGATCGCGAGCACTCGTCCCAAATCATACCTCTTCGACGATCTGCCGACGGTGTTGCTGTATGGTCCACTGTACAATACTTTCTGCGATGATGCGGCCGCCTTTACTGTGGTGTCTCTCTTCCTGTCGTTTGCCCGCGGCGTCGCGATCGGTGCGCTTCAACCTTCAGGGATTGCTCAAATAGTGCTCCTGGCGATTTGCGAAGTTGTTGCCATTTTGACGCTTGTTGCTTTCCGCCCGTTTCCTTCGCCGACATCCATGAACCTTTATCACGCCTGTTTCTCGATCGTGCGGTTTCTCACAATCCTCTTGAGCGTCGTTTTTGTTCCGTCCTTAGGCGTGTCCCAGGCTGCCCGCGGTTGGATAGGCTACGTTATTCTCTTCTTACACGCAGTCGTTCTAGTATTCGGGTTCTTTTTGAACGCCTTGCAGACATTGGTTGAAGTTATAGCTCGACTCGCCGGTGCTGGAGGCTACGAAGGTGGTGTTACCCGCGGTGGCCTCGTCAAGGTATGTACAATATTATCGATTCCTTCTTTTCCTAGCGTTGGTCTTCTCGTATGAGTGCTAGGCTGACAATGATCTAGGTATTCGGTATGCGGCAACTCTCACGGCGTATGCCAAGACGAAGTGTTGGAACTCGCCAAAGCATGGGCTCCGAGGCTGCGATGCTAGCACACACCGACGAGCGATTGTCTTCTCAGTTTGACGGATCACGGCCCAGAAGCCTTTCGGGCAGCTCGGCAATGCTTCTGAACCGGGCAGCCGCGAGTGAGGGCAGAACCAGCGCCTTCTACGAGTCGGGCAGTGCCCATGGAGGTACCCATAGTCGGGCCAATAGCAGTGGTCTATTTACACCCACCACGCCTGGTAGCAACCCTACTTTCCAGGGTGCAGGCTACCAGACAACTGGAAGTAATTCTCCGAAAAGCGGTCCCCTTTTGGCCATGCAAGCGCACGATCCGTACTACAGACCTCCCAGGCCTCGCAATAAGAGAGTGGATATGAGTGGAGGCGAGAAAGGTAGAACGGGCGGTCGGCAACGAACAGGCAGCGACGCCGATGATGATATAATCGAGGGCCCCGCGTCTGGGCGGGCCACCCCCGTGCCAGCCTACATTCCTGCGCCGAAAGACGATCTCGATCTAGACGACCCTCGACAATCCCGCAAAGATTACGCTGTTCGCGAGGTCGACTTCTACTACCGTGTCCGGGGTCCGCCGCTGTCGCAAAGCGGCACGCGTAAACTGAAGACTGGCCCTGCAGATCCCACCGGACCTGTATCTTCTGCCACCGGCTTCTTCCGCAACCTGTTCCGAGGAAAGACTAAGGAAAACGGTAAAGGATTCGAAGTTGTTCGCAGCGCAAGGGCACCCCCACCTGGTCTGCTTCCTGAAGGGGATGATGTCCACGAACCATATCGAGACGAGCCTGACGAACAGGCTACCACAGGGCACAGCCGTCGGGTCTCAGGAAGCGACCGATCGTATCCAGATACAGATAGTGATGACAACAACCGAACCCGTGAGGCGCTGATCAGCCTGCCTCAAGTTGAGTCCGGCGGCGCTATTGAGCTGCCCAGTCGCATCGGCTCCCAGCATAGCTCACCTTCAGGAGCCCCACAGGCTTCGCGACCTTCTCGGCGTGATTCTCGGTCGTTGGCTTTAGAGAATGACACTGCATCACACAAATCTCTTCCCGTTGTGACTAAAGCTGTTTCGCAAGAGGCCCATTACCCGGCTCCTCAGTTGCATCCTTCCTCATCCGGTACCGGCCGATTGCCATTTAGTGCTGCTAGTTCCCCTTCGCGGGATCGTAACTTCTCTATAGCCTCAACAACCGCGTCAACGTCCTCAAGCCGGCAGCACGGGAACGGTACCGAGCGGCCCTCGAGCATGGGATACGTTGCCCAGCATCGCACCCGGGACTATATCCACGAAGCTAGCCCGGATGAACCTTCTTTTACTGGAAGTGCTGCCGAGCTCGTTGATGAGCCGCATCATCCTGAAGGAAGTCATTAAGTCCTGTGCTCCAAGTGAAGCACTATCTTTAGTGCACCAAGTTGCACTTCTATCCTAATGATATATCCGTCGATGTGACAGCATGTATATTCTGCGCTGTTCTATTTGTATTTGATATCTAGGTGACGAATTTCCTTTTACTATTCTTCGTTTTGTGCTACCGGAAAAGAGCTGTGCCTGGCGTTCTGATATACGTTTGGATCTCCGTTACATATACACCACGGCCTGCAAAATACCTGCCCGTCCTACCATGTTTTCTCTACCTTTTTTTTTTTTTTTTTTACTTTTTCTGCCCTATTTCCTCTATGCTTAATTCGAGGGCATTCCATTGTGCCTGCAAGAACAGCTAATCGTGATCGGGAAAAGCCTTCTGATTCAGAAGCTCTTCGTCTTGTATATTGTGGAGCGTTCAATTCATGTATGAAGTTTTCGAGAATAGTTTCTTTTAACTACCGTGAAATTAGGGTTGGCCAGCTCGACTGGCATAATGGGATGGTCCTTTTCTAGCTATATAGCCCAAAAATCACGAGGTTGGAATCAAATTCGTTATTATGGGTATCCATCCAGAAGCAAGAGTGTGGATCAGTATCTGTTATGATAAGCCGAAGTGGCAAACGCTATTGGTATCAAAGTTTCGTAGACCCTGACAATTGGAAGATTTCCTCATTACCTCAGCAAGGGGGAAAAGGCATCTGACCCTCGAGGTTAAAAATTTTGCAGAATATAAAGGTTTCTCACCGGGACTGCACCATGATTTAAAATTTATTCGGAGGTCACACGGTGCTGCAGTCTCGTGGATGTTTGGTGCCTTAAATTTTTGGACCGCTATCTCTTCAGTTGCCCCGCGGCGAAGAATAATAGGAAAGGCGGTTAATCGTAAGGCACACTTGCCTGACAACTACTTACTAACCTTGACTCTCT